AGCCAAAAACTTTTTAGTTATTATATAAGTATAGAACAGATTATTTAGTCTAAACAGGTCCTTGAGTGATAGCAGCTATTCCTTTAGCTGACCAAGTTTAACCTGTATAAATATGGTATATTATTATATTTATTATTATTATCTTTGCTTGTGGGAAGCATGACCATTGTGAGAGGTTCGGGCGGCCCTGAAACTTTTTGAAAACCAGAGTGCCTGGAGAAGACCCACGAAGCACAACAGTTGACAAAGTTGACGAAGTCAACCAACCAACATTCTTGACCCATTCTTTTAACGTTAGTCATGCTGTTCGTGTTGTCGAAAACGTCCCTTGCACTTAAGCTCGCTAATAACGATGTAGGCCGACATACCATCAATCTTTAACAAAATAGAGCAGGAAACTGGGTTTCTTCGTAGTTCATCATTCGGTGGTATAGTTTAAAACATATTTTTACGATTTTAGAAAATCAACCTACTAAACCGACTTCGATAAATAATAATGGAAGTAAAAAGGTGACAAGAACATTTCCAGTTTCCACTAGACCTGCAAGTTCACCATCTCAAACTACCTCTGAAGGCAAGTGATGTTTTTGTTTAATTACACATAGTAATGCTTTGTATATGATAATGTATACAGTTTTTATGTTGTTGTTTAGCAGTGCATACGGGTCGCCCATCAAGCAATACCCGGTCCTCAACCTTCAGCAGGAGGCTTAAATACGTTTTAGTGCAAAGTTGACAAAGTCAAGTTTGCACTATTGTTATGGGGTGCAAGGCATTACTACGTAGCGTAAGTCGGGGCAAAACGAGATGGTGGGGCTAAATGAGACGATTATGCAATAATGCTAGTTTTCGGCGTATTACCGCAGGTTTTTTATCACAAGCATTACGGGCTCATAAACAAGCATTTTTCGAAGTTATTCAACGAGGTTTGAGGATTCAAAGCTATTTCACAGCGAAAAAAAATCGATTCTTTTGGATTACACTGAAGTTGGCGTCTCAAAATTGAGGTATGTTATTACTTAGCATATTTAGATAGTTTTTTATTCTGTCTAAAATACCGCAGCTAAGAAATATACTCCATTTGTTTTGTATACAAAAACATGTGGCCTTTCATGTTAAAAGTGTATTTTGCTCATGTTGCTCTTTATTTTTATCATTTTGAGCCTTTGAATTCTCCCAAGTGCCATGGGGCTAAATGAGACAGGCCGATTTTCTTACAAGACACTTCTGTTTGCTTATGGGCATTATCGCTATCTGTTGTAATGTTGTAATCAATATATATATAATATGGTATATAAAGTAGCATAGGGGTATTATACAATGTATATTAGTGTCTCAAAGTGGTGTTTTAATGCAGTAAATGTTTGTATGTACCATCATTCTACCCTACATATGTGCATCATTGCTCAAACAATTCATATTAAATAAAAATTTACTATAGATTTTTATGTCAATCTAAAAATAATCTGTGGGTACACATCAGTTGGGTTTTCTCACTTAGTTCTGTGACACCATCAGTTGACGAGGTACTTAAATAGACTTAATATTATTTTTAGAATGGTCCGAAACTACAAACGGAAGACTGACCGGGCAAATTGGTCAGAGGAGCAAATGAAGCTTGCTATCTTGGCAGTAGAAAACAAAGAGCTGTCCATAAGAAAAGCTGCCGTTGTCTTTGGGGTTCCCAAGGATTCACTAAATCGCCGAGTGCAAGGTAAGCTGAAAAGTTTATCCGCAGAGGAGAAACATAAAAATATTTTGGGGCGTTATCGTGCAATTCTCACCCATGACCAAGAGAAAGAGCTTGAAGACCACATAATCAACATGGATCAAGCTTTTTATGGTCTTTCCATAAATGACATCAGAGCCATTGTCTATGACTATTGTCAAAAGAACAATATTAAGAACAATTTCAATTCGGATAACAAAATGGCCGCACCATTTGCAAATTTATAAACTTTTTCTAAGCTTTCTGTGTTAAAATAAAGAATGTAAAAGCGAAGAAAAATACACATTCAACAGGCAACAGCTAGGATATGCTGCTGAAACCGTATAGGCACAATTGTTGTATGAATGTTGTTGAGTAGTGGTTTTTGTTTCGTGGCCATACAACAAAAGTATCGTCTCGAGAAACATTGCGATTCTCGGGAAAACAAAACTATTTCCCTCGGGAGCCAGCATTAAGTTTATAAAATTATACCTCTCACCACGTGCCAGCTCACAAAACGCACTATTTTATTCACTTCATTCAGCAATTTCCAACATTTACAATTATAGAATTTTGTGCGACAATATGAGTTCACGAAATTATAAAAATAGATCTCCCATAACTATATGATATATATGCCATATTGGGAGAACCTTGATCTATTTCAATACGTGTAATAAATATAGATAGCCCCTAAACAGGTATTTTAAGTCGCATTCAAATCAATGTGTAGATCCGATAAAGTCATACAGGTACCTATAATGAATATGTTTCATATTGGACCGCAATAAATATGTTTCTGGGAGAGAAACAACATGCAACATTGGTATTCGTGAATGCTGTTCCTGAATAAACGTTTTGATTCTTCAAGCCACAAAATCAAAAGAATTAACGCGTGCGTGCATGCATGTGTGGAATAAGGGAATATCACGACTCAGTTACTATGATTTAATATATTCATAATATTTATAATATTTCTACTGTATATCGCTAGATGATAACGCGTACAATATGAGCTGTATCACATAAATAATTTACCTGCAGTAGGATACACAATGCGCTTTCTAAGCCCTTCAGCGTTTTCACTTGAGGACATGTCTATTCTCGTATTTGCTGCGCCACGTTTTGGGTGTGCCATCTCCCATCTCCTTTGGCCAGTAGATGCTTTGGAAATTTGCCTGCTCACACGAACAAGGAGTTCCATGCGCATTTGTTTTGGGTTGGCGCACGTTCGACGCACATTTACGACGTCTGCGCGTTCACGCAATTCGTCGTCCTTTGAGGTTTCGGTCGAACTTTGAAACTTCCCATTTTGCACGAAAGCGCCAGTTTTAGGCCGTGTTATTTTGTCTACATCTGAAGTTGGCTGAGCAGCAGAAGTGTTAGCTGAACATAGCTGTGCTAGAACGAATGAAGCTGTGAGAACAGCAATTGCGCTTCGTATATTTTCTGCCATGGTTGTTCGACTCGTTTGACCAAGATGATCACTTTGCGTGAAGTGCGATAAGAGGCCCACTTTATATAAAATTGTTTGCAATAATACTTCCTGTGGGCGTTGACAGAATAACTGACGATAAGACGATCGAGTGAAATGCATGTGAATGGTCGTCTGCATGCATTGAGATCGCATTACGGGTTATGATCTTGACATTTCCAATAATAACTTAATTAGAGCTGTCATAACATAACTCTTGTGAAACGATAATAGCATGTCACTCTGCATGTAATCAAATATCTGGCACGAAAAATGACTGCAACGCACAATTGGGGAATATCGTAAACACATTTAATAATTGTTGAATAACAAAGTGTTGATTTAGCATAAATGACGCATATAATCAGTGGTAGGTTGTGAAAAACGAACAAGCACTAATAATGTTAATAGTAATCTTTCTTTTGACCTTCAATATTAATAGTGAGCGTGTGATATGCAAAATATAATGGCAAAGTCAATTCAAATTTAATAAAGAAGTAAAATATCATTAAAATTTAAAAGTGTAAAAAAAACCAGTAAAATATTGTACAAACGTATATCAAACTCATTAATAATTCATGACGAATGAAATGAATGTTTAATGCGGGGCTGATAATTATTTCGTCCTTGACGAACACTATGACCTTTCGTCCTGATAACGTAATTGTCGTCTCAGCAAAAAGTGTTTACATACTTTAAAATTCGATAAACACGAACGTTCATTTGCATGTGTAATTTTGTGTTTCATCTTCCGGCAACCTTACAGTAGCAACAATATCAAACACAAATCCAAACTAAATGGAACACAGAGGCTACATTCCTCAAACCAGCAAACGTCATGTACTCGATCAAGTATTATTTATATTATAAGATGAAATGTGAACTTCTGAGACTGGAGCAATGTCATGTTTTATACAGTTTAATTGGCCTTTGGAAATTCGACGCACCGCATTCATGAATTGTTTCAATATTTATAAGGATGAAACAGCGGCCGGTTATAGCAAGCCATTTGTCTTGTGACAAAATTTCTTGCTCCTTCGCCAGTCGTCATTGGCATGACGTCATAGCGTTTAATAATTTTTTTAATCAACGTTATCGAGGTGTCACCACTCAACTTTTGGAGGTTTGGAGGGATGTTCCCAACCCCATGATATTTTAAAATCTATGAAATGGCATTTTTAGACACTTTGGGGTGCTATTTTGCGAAACTCGTTAGCAGCTCGGGAGAAAAGGATAATACTAAATTGCACTATTAACTTTACAATCAGTTTCCAACATTCTTTACTCCCAAATGGAACAAAAACTTAAGGACTTTTTCCCCTCGTGCATTTTAACATTAGGAGTCTTTTTTTTTTTGGGGGGGGGGGGCTTAATAACCTATATTTCGATCCCCCCCTCCCCCTTTGAACATTGGGAAAGCACCATTAGTTCACTGACATAATCACACTGTTTTTTCCTGCCAGCTTTCATATGAGCGAAGGATAAAATATAGCAATACATAACACTCACTCTAATTCACGCCTTGCGGTTACGCTCAGGATAAACTCCCTTCCCCGATAAAAGGATTATTAGGATTATCAGGCAAGATCCTAATTTTCTAAAGTTAGAAACAACCACAAACTAACAGCCAAACTTAACACTTATATAACATATACGCGCATGGTCATCAATAAGCACCTTCGCACTATTTACACATGCATTATTGTTTTTGTACTTATTCTTCAGATTTCTGGTTTTGATTTTTATACTATAAGCCTCATTGAGTGAGGTTTTGATTTTTATACTAAGCTTCATCAACTTGAGGTTGATTTTAGTTTTCGTACGATATATGTATCTATCAATTGACATTCAATTTTACATTAACTTCATGCACAAATTGACTGGTATGTACACTATATAGACTTTACGTGATTAGTGTGTAAAGCTCGCAACATAATTAGTGGGTAAAATTTCCTGTAATTATATATCTAATTTGGCCAAAACGTCTTGAAGCACATTTCTTAAGCCTCTTAATTTTACATAATTGGTTCATGAGTTCAATAAAAACATGACCGCGAGAAAAACGTTATGTCCGTTCGACACACAGAATAGACAGAGTATAACAGTGGATTATTTCTAACTGTTTGTTTGTTTGTTTTTGTAAACAGATATAAGAAAGATTTTACAACAACAGATAGTTATGAATTAATAGAAATATATAAATACGCAAAATCCTCTATACGCACTTCACAGTTTCCCATAAGAACAGCGGTTATTTTCGGTTTTTGAGGGACTGATTGTACATAAAGTCTAGACAGAACACTCAGTAATTGAAGGTTTACCCCAAACATGGAAAAAAATTTTTAAAATTTATGAGAGATATTGTCTGAGAGAAAGACCACAGGCAGAGAAGCATTCGAATGACTTGTCATTGACTGCATAGTCTGTCAAGATATGATGGTCGGGAAACACGGCAAACTTCAAAGCCACAAAATAGAAGACCTTTGTTTCATGTTGAACCGTAAATCACCGTGCACAAACCTTTGTCCCAATTTTATAAAATATTATTCATCGTGGTTGCACGTTTCAACTCAGCTATCCCTATTGCATGGGCGATTACTTAATTAATTATAGGAAAATATACAATGAGAGACGATTAAGTACTTAATTATACAAAAATATAATGAGCTCATTCACCGTGCTCGTGCACAAATTAACGTAAACTCAGACAAAAACATAATACAAGGACTTCCGTTTAGTTTCCAGACCATCATATCTTGATGAACTATGGTCGCTCAAGGGTACAATTAACAGAAAACGCATCCTAATTTAAAGCTCATTTATGTAGAATAAACCATCGTCATAATCTAAAGTTTAGACGTATTTTTATTTCTATCGAATGCCATTCATACTCTAACTTTTTAAGAATGTAGATTTAAACGGTCAATTAAGAAACGCACGTACTATGTACAAGAAATCTAACACGTGCGAGGAGTCAGGATACCTTAATACTTGTGTGTTGCTTTGACGATCATCTAACAAGCACTGCAGATTCACGCCCAATGTATAGTTAGTATATAACATCCCCAAGTTTGAACTTATTTGGTCTAATTAATTCCAACTTATATCATGTATGGCTTTTATCTCAAGTCCATCTACTCACGTCATATCATGAACCTGAAAAAGTGTAAAAATGTGAACAATGCGAGAACCTTCTTCATTGCATGCACAGCCAAAAGGCCGTTAAAACATTATAAGTATAATGCCTACTATAACCATAACCATAGGCGTTCGGACGAAAACAAATGAATAGGACAAAAATTTGAAACACAAATGAAGAAAATAAATGGCGGCCAAAAAGTTGCCCGTCAATAATGGAAATTGCATTGCTGAAATTATCATGGGTTTATTGATAGATATGAATAGAAGGAAAATAGAAGGAACACATCTCCTTTATAAAAAGTCAATCTTGAAATGATAAAAAAAATATATAGAACAATTTATACGAGTATTTCTGGGATATCATTCTTTGACATGTATCAAGAACTCCTCACTTACAGCATGCATGCAGTCATTCAGTTTCTCTGACTAAACATTAATATCTCATAATTTGATCTGCAACAAAACAGCTCTACGCAAATTGCCCTATTTTTAAGTGGACTTTGTCCGACTAGATACCGACTGTGTAGGGGGGCTGCAGCCCCTCTGTCTCGTACACCTAAGTAATACTAATCACTTAAACAACCGGAATAAGCACTTGTTCAAATAGAGATAGTCCTCAGAAATAGAATGGCTATAGATATGACGCTATACTCATTCAATCTCCCACGCATGCACACTAACATGCATGCCAATCTATTTTTCTTCCACAGGGCAAATAATTCCAACTGTCCATGCATCTATATAGAATCTGCAGATGTTATAACGGGTACTTGGTCTTGCTTCAACCCAGACAGTGAATATCACGAGCAAGGCATTAGGAAAAGTGTCACGGAGATCATTTGTTCAGTTTTTACCCAAAAACTGGTTGCCACTACAGCCTGTTTGATCCAAGGGAGATCACCAGAGCTACCTTGCATGATGATATTCCTTTTAGATGAAACAGGCCTGTAATTGCAGCCCCGGCCCTAGGGGTAAAAAGCTGTACTACTTACTCTCTACATATATGATATCGAGGAATATTTTGCATTTCGTGAACCCGAAAACACACTCGCGAAATCATTTGTTCTAAACTTAGTGATTTGTTTCGTTTTGTTTCCTTTATGAAACTCTTGAAAGTGCGCAAGTATGTTTAGAAATGGAAGGAACAAGTCGATCTGAAATGTAGGAAGATAATAAAAAAATATGTGTCTTGTTATGTCGAGGAATTTTAGTCTGAAAATATAGGTTTTTATTATATGGCAAGCATTTGTTTTGATGAATCGCGCAATTTGATTGGCTGCTGACGGGGCAGGATTTTCCCGTATTGCCCACGGGCAATACGCAATTTTTATTGCCCTGCGACGAGAGCCGAGTTTCAAACAGCAAAAAGTGTCTAAAAGTCTTTCAAAACTATTCAAAACGAAGAAAACTAAACCTAAAATAAAAAAAGGAGCAACTGCTGTGGTTAAAGAACCTTCTCAATACGTTTTTGTTAGCGAAAGTCAAAATTACAAGGTAAATTTTACAATGTTTATAACTATGAAAGCAGTCAGGAATAGTTGTGTTTTGACTATGTAAAGAGCTGCAAATTTTATTTGCAGATAAGCCAGGAGGAATTTGACACCATCCTAAATAAAAAATACAACTAAAACAGCCACAGATTTATCATTTTTCCCTGAAAATTTCTGTTTTTGTTAGATAAAAAGAGATATAAATATATGAGATGAAGCGAACTAAAAACGTACTTGTTTTTGTAATTTTATTGAATTTTATTGTTTTCATATTTGTTGTCTTTGATTAAATGACGAAATACCTCGTATTTTTCTTGAAATACTATCCAAACTGTGTTAGTATTCTATATAAAAAGTGCTGTAGAGTAGTTTTACTAACCAAGAGAACATTTTTACAATTGTTTTTTTTTTGCAAACTGTTTCGGACTTTGTACTTTGCCCTCGCGTGACCTTTTCTTCCATTTTTCACAAACGTAAAATGCCATATAATAAAAAACTTACTGGCCTCAACCGTTCAGGCAGTACGGGAAAATATCCAACCTCGGTCTTGCTGTATTGACCTCGCTATCGCTCGGTCAATACAGCAAGACCTCGGTTGGATATTTTCCCGTACTGCCCTCACTCTCGGTCAGTAAGTTATTAGTATTCGGCAACTAGTCCTTGTCTACTCCCGCCCATTAGCAGACCCCCGGGAATCATAGTTCTGCCGAAATTGATGTTTGTTCGTCCTTATTCGAAGTATCAAAATACGTTATAGGAATAAGTGAACCCGAGACATCTGTATGCTGCCATGACAACGATATAAGCAAACGAAATTTGCGTGCATTTTAATTACTCTTGCAGACACACAAGGACTAAGTTTTATTATCACTTATTGTATCTATCTCAAGTACATCTAGTGAATAAACCATAAAAATAGCATGAATAAAAAAGCTTAAAAATGTAATGAATATCAGGGCGTGAATGTGAATTCGTTTTCTAAACACTTTAAAACATAAGAATATGTAAATATGGCGGTGTGCCACCCATGGCACCCGCGGGAGTGTCTTTACTGTAGACAACATATAATAAACCTGTCACAGACTAATATTGTGTAAGCCCAATTAGGGTATGGTAGCTCATGAAGACGACAACAGTGATGAAAATTAAAGATGTTCTACACAGTGGTTATATTCTCACGAGTTATAACAGATTACAGACATTCCTATGTCGGATCCCAAATTTCTTATACTTGGTCGCCCCCTTTTAGTAAACCTCATTTAACAACAAGCACTGCAGATTCACGCCCAATGTATAGTTAGTATATAACATCCCCAAGTTTGAACTTATTTGGTCTAATTAATTCCAACTTATATCATTATATCAAGTCCATCTACTGACGTCATAGCATGAACCTGAAAAAGTGTAAAAAATGTGAACAATTCGAGAACCACCCCATTGCATGCACAGCCAAAAGGCCGTTAAAACATTATAAGTATAATGCCTACCATAACCATAGACGTTCGGGCGAAAACAAATGAATAGGACAAAAATTTGAAAAACAAATAAAGAAAACAAATGGCGGCCAAAAAGTTGCCCGTCAATAATGGAAATTGCATTGCTGAAATTATCATGGGTTTATTGATAGATATGAATAGAAGGAAAATAGAAGGAACACATCTCCTATATAAAAAGTCAATCTCGAAATGATAAAAAAAATATATAGAACAATTTATACGAGTATTTCTGGGATATCATTCTTTGACATGTATCAAGAACTCCTCACTTACAGCATGCATGCAGTCATTCAGTTTCTCTGACTAAACATTAATATCTCATAATTTGATCTGCAACAAAACAGCCCTACGCAAATTGCCCTATTTTTAAGTGGACTTTGTCCGACTAGATACCGACTGTGTAGGGGGGCTGCAGCCCCTCTGTCTCGTACACCTAAGTAATACTAATCAATTAAACAACCGGAATAAGCACTTGTTCAAATAGAGATAGTCCTCAGAAATAGAATGGCTATAGATATGACGCTATACTCATTCAATCTCCCACGCATGCACACTAACATGCATGCCAATCTATTTTTCTTCCACAGGGCAAATAATTCCAACTGTCCATGCATCTATATAGAATCTGCAGATGTTATAACGGGTACTTGGTCTTGCTTCAACCCAGACAGTGAATATCACGAGCAAGGCATTAGGAAAAGTGTCACGGAGATCATTTGTTCAGTTTTTACCAAAAAACTGGTTGCCACTACAGCCTGTTTGATCCAAGGGAGATCACCAGAGCTACCTTGCATGATGATTCCTTTTAGATGAAACAGGCCTGTAATTGCAGCCCCGGCCCTAGGGGTAAAAAGCTGTACTACTTACTCTCTACATATATGATATCGAGGAATATTTTGCATTTCGTGAACCCGAAAACACACTCGCGAAATCATTTGTTCTAAACTTAGTGATTTGTTTCGTTTTGTTTCCTTTATGAAACTCTTGAAAGTGCGCAAGTATGTTTAGAAATGGAAGGAACAAGTCGATCTGAAATGTAGGAAGATAATAAAAAAATATGTGTCTTGTTATGTCGAGGAATTTTAGTCTGAAAATATAGGTTTTTATTATATGGCAAGCATTTGTTTTGATGAATCGCGCAATTTGATTGGCTGCTGACGAGGCAGGATTTTCCCGTATTGCCCACGGGCAATACGCAATTTTTATTGCCCTGCGACGAGAGCCGAGTTTCAAACAGCAAAAAGTGTCTAAAAGTCTTTCAAAACTATTCAAAACGAAGAAAACTAAACCTAAAATAAAAAAATAACCAACTGCTGTTGTTAAAGAACTTTATCAATACGTTTTTGTTAGCGAAAGTCAAAATTACAAGGTAAATTTTACAATGTTTATAACTATAAAAGCAGTCAGGAATAGTTGTGTTTTGACTATGTAAAGAGCTGCAAATTTTATTTGCAGATAAGCCAGGAGGAATTTGACACCATCCTAAATAAAAAATACAACTAAAGCAGCCACAGATTTATCATTTTTCCCTGAAAATTTCTGTTTTTGTTAGATAAAAAGAGATATAAATATATGAGATGAAGCGAACTAAAAACGTACTTGTTTTTGTAATTTTATTGAATTTTATTGTTTTCATATTTGTTGTCTTTGATTAAATGACGAAATACCTCGTATTTTTCTTGAAATACTATCCAAACTGTGTTAGTATTCTATATAAAAAGTGCTGTAGAGTAGTTTTACTAACCAAGAGAACATTTTTACAATTGTTTTTTTTTGCAAACTGTTTCGGACTTTGTACTTTGCCCTCGCGTGACACACAAGGACTAAGTTTTATTATCACTTATTGTATCTATCTCAAGTACATCTAGTGAATAAACCATAAAAATAGCATGAATAAAAAAGCTTAATGAATATCAGGGCGTGAATGTGAATTCGTTTTCTAAACACTTTAAAACATAAGAATATGTAAATATGGCGGTGTGCCACCCATGGCACCCGCGGGAGTGTCTTTACTGTAGACAACATATAATAAATCTGTCATAGACTAATATTGTGTAAGCCCAATTAGGGTATGGTAGCTCATGAAGACGACAACAGTGATGAAAATTAAAGATGTTCTACACAGTGGTTATATTCTCACGAGTTATAACAGATTACAGACATTCCTATGTCGGATCCCAAACTTCTTGTACTTGGTCGCCCCCTTTTAGTAAACCCAACATGACGTATATCCTGCATGTCGAAAATATTGAGAGAGATTTTATTCGCGACAAACATTATTAAGGTCGGAAAAAGCACGTGAAATATAAAACAAAAAGTATAAAAAATAATAAAGTAAGATACTGCACGCAATCAAATTATAAAATAGCTAAACATTGCGCGATGACTATATATAGTATATATTAGAAAACATAACATTAATAGAAAACACAATCTAAGATATATTTGTTCTTGTGTTCAGCAAATTTTCAGAGTTCAGAACTCGATCTATCTGAGTTCATGCACTGGTTCAGACTGATGATTACTTACTTGAAAGCCAAGTTTAATTTTATGCCTGTAGCTCATGCACTGTACATAATATTAATAAATAATTACATTAATTTTTTAAAGAAGCGGTCAAGTCGTTGAGCGGATGTATAGTTTTTGAAGACACTATACTCATAAAATATGATTCACTTGGTTCATATTTAACATCATTCTGGTTCGCCATATGCTTTTAAAAATATATAGATTAGCAGTTTCAATTTAGAAGATGTCGAAACAACGCGAAATTTGGGTATTGTTAACATCATGCAGAAGGTCCCTCACATAGCACATGCGCAGAACAGACTTGAGCTCATCTTTAAACATTTGCTTTCACAACAAAGGAACAATATTTTGAATATTTTTTACTACACGTTAGTACGCGCTCTGTAAGCCTTACTATTTTTATTTTTGGCAAGAATTCCCATTCCTGGCCACTGTTTATTGAACAGTTTTCTTGTGGGTGAAAGTGATAAACATGCATTTGTTTATCAATCACGAAATATTTAGAAGCTCTTGAGAAATGTGCGTACATTACTATACATGGTGGTTGAATAATAGGAAGTTGCAGTCTATTTATATTTATCTAAATAAATGAAAACTGCAGTCTATTTCTAATTCCATTTCATTCCAAATTTATCCGTTCCGTCGCACTTTTTAAGGATGCATGAAGATTTAGGCAGCTAGTGCAGATTAAAATAATCGCGAGATCTTTGTACGAACTCAGGGTCAATTTTCACATAGCGGGTGGGGCAAAAAAAAGTACGACTGTTTGAATTGCTGCAAAATCAAAACTAAAATTGCAATGACACTAAAACAAGTTTATTGGCATTCAGCGATATCCAACTTAAATTTTGATATATGCCATGCACATTTCCATGCCATATTGTCAACGATACATGCATTTAAACAGGAGTAAACATTTTTGGAACTGACGAAATTGGCTAAAAATGGCTTGTTAAATATTAATACATACAACATGCAATGAATTGTGTTAAGACGCATTATACTTTATTGTCAGTACGTTCACTCTTGTGGTTCAAAAATAATCGTCTACATTCATCAGTAAATGCATGTCCCCCAGCACGAATGCAACGTCTTGCCCGTGAAATCATACAGTCGAAAGAATTTTGGATCATTTGCTGTTTCAAGTTGCGGCATTCTGTAACAATCGCTCCACGAAGCTCTCTCAAATTGTGCTTCAGAACCGGAGTTATTTGAATCGCACATAGACTTGTCCTAATCCGAATTGGAGGTACTCTCTCGTGTCGAGATTTCATTCAACAAAGTGTGGGCCCAGAACAACTGACCTCGTCCAGCCAACCCACTAATTAAAAACAATAATCGCGAGAAAATGGTAAAGGTTATTCAATTGGTTTTAATAGGGCCTTTTCAGCTAATTCTCGGCGGTTCCAAAAATGTTTGCTTAAGTTTAAATACTTATCTTTGTCAATATTGCATGAAAAGGTACAAGACATATATCAAAATTTAAGTTAAACATCGTGGAATATACGGTGACTTATTTAAGTGTAAAAGCTCTTTTACTTTTTAAGTCATAGTAAATCAAACTGTCGTACCTTTTTTGCCCCACCCGGTATATTATTTTACATCTGGTTGATCATCATGTTATTATTATAGAATATCATTCGGTGAACCACGGGTATATGAGTTTATAAACTACATTTAATATCAACAACGTGCAGAACAGTAAAACCTTGTGGTAAAACAGTATATGAAAAGGATGGCGTGACCTAAAAGTTCAAAGTACTTTGTCATACGATATGACGTCACATGAAGTTCTTCTCTAACATGTTGAAACATTGTTTTTCCTAATGGTTTAGTCAACAAGTCCGCTAACATTTCTTCCGTAGGACAATAGTCTAGAACAACTTCTTTCTTTGCAACTTTGTCACGAATGAAATGGTGTTTTAATATCGATATACTTTATTCTGGGATGATACTTAGGATTCTTTGACAAAGCTATTGCACCTTGATTATCCTCTTTGATCATCGTTGGCTTGTTTTGAACAAAACTGATATCTTCGAGTAACACACGTAACCAAACTGCTTCCTGACACGCTAACGATGCAGCGACATACTCCGCTTCAGTTGAAGAAAGTGCGACAACACTTTATTTCTTACTAGCCCAACTGATTACTCCTCCACACAGTGTAAACAAATATCCTGATTGCGATTTCCGTCCGTTTGGATTACTTCCCCAATCAGCATCAACATAACCACTCAACTGTACTTCAGTTTCTTTGTTTCCATCGAATGTAATTCCGTAATCAAGTGTTCCTTTGATGTATCGTAAAATACGTTTAGCTGCTGTCCAGTGTTCAACTCCTGGGTTGGAACAAAATTGATTAACTAATCCTAACGCTTAAGCGCGGTCAGGTCTAGTACCAGTTACCGCATAAGTTAATCCTCCGATTAAGGCTTGATACTTGGTTTTCTCAACTGGTTCTCCATCGTTAGGTAGTAATTTAGTGCCTTGATCAACAGGCGTTGCAGCTGGTTTGCACTTCTCCATTCCAAACTTCTTTAACAAGTTCGTGAGATACTGTGATTGATGTAATCTCATTCGTTTCTTGTTTCTTGTTTCTATCTCGTTCTACTTGAATACCAAGGCAATAATGAACTTCACCGAGATCTTTCATTTCGGAACGCTTTCTCAATGCTTCTTTCTCTTTATGAAGCATTCTCTTACTATTACTAGCTGGTATCAAGTCATCGACGTACACAAGGCTATGAGCATGATATCATCTCCCTCTCGCTTTATGTACAGACAAGGGTCCGAGTTTGATTGTACATAGCTGGAATTATTTAAGAATTGATCAATCGTGTTGTACCAACACCCTGATGACTGCTTGAAGCCGTAGATACTCCTGTTTAATTTGCAAACTTAATCTTCCTGACCTTCTTTCACGTATCCTTCTGGTTGCTTCATGTATATTTCTTCTTCCAATTCACCGTTCAAGAACGCTGTAGAAACGTCCATTTGATGTACTTCTAAATCTAACTGGTTAGCAATTGCCAATAGTGAACGAATAGATGTATACTTCGCTACAGGAGAAAAGGTTTCATCATAATCTAATCCTGGTTCTTGCGAGTTTTCTTTTCGCAACTTAACGAGCTTTGTGGCGCTCTACAGACCCATCCGCGTTGTATTTAACTCTAAATACCCATCGACAATCAATAGCTTTACGACCCTCAGGCAGATTCCCTAATGTCCATGTATTGTTCTTAATATGAGCTGAATATTCATTGTCCAGAGCTTGTTTCCATTGTTCTTTATCTGAACAATTTAGAGCTTCCCTTTATATAGTTGTATTAGAATGTTAGGGTTTGTAATCCAAGTGAGAATATATACATTTTAAGACCTAACCAGGAACGACTGGGAAAAATGCAGCACAAGGTCCTCTGGTAGGATTTGAACCTACGGCCCTACGAACCTACGGTTACAGCTCAACAGCTGGCCTCTGTAGCTCAGTTGGTTAGAGCGCTGCACCGGAATCGCTGGGCCGTAGGTTCAATTCCTACCAGAGGACCTTGTGCTGCATTTTTCCCAGTCGTTCCTGGTTAGGTCTTAAAATGTATATATTCTCACTTGGATTACAAACCCTAACATTCTAATATTAATTCCACCAAGTGTAGTGCAAGAATCCAAATTATTGAAGTCCACCTTTTAGTTGTAGGCTCTTCTGGACTGCACTCACTATTAATACATGCAACATTAATTTGCCACCAATTGCCAGTGATTACTACACCATCACCCGTATTCTAAAAGCTCACTCACACTCGATGAGTGGAGGTTCAATCTAAGCTTCTCTTGAGTGTCAATGCTGCTTTTGAATAGCTGGAGGGTGAGCAGTCACATAGTAACGTATGGCACTACCCCTCCAGCTATTCAAAAGCAACATTGACGCTAAAGAGAAGCTCGGATTGAACCTCCACTCATTGAGTGTGAGTGTGAGTGAGCTTTTAGAATACGGGCGCATGTCTATCTGGTGGTTCTCGTTTGCGCGTTGAACGTCGTGGTTGCTGCTCCACTTCGGTTTCTCTGCTGATGCTCGGTTCTTCAGTACCTTCATCATGATCAACTGTGTCTTGATCCCCTGAAATAACATGCTCGGAAGATGGTTTGTTCTCTTGTGGTTCTTCTTGGTCTTCAGGGAGGGAATCATTCAAGTTTACAATTTGCATAAATTTCGTCTGTTGAATAAATTCATCTTCATCAAATAAAACATCCCTGGATATGTGTAATTTCCGAGTCTTAGGATCATAAAGTCTATATCCCTTACTTGAAATACTATATCCAACAAATATACATTTCTTGGTCTTTTAATCCCATTTCTTTCTGGTTTCTTTAGGAACATGCATGTATGCTTTGCATCCGAACACTTTAAAAGTGGACACGTCCGGTTTCTTATCCCATACCTGTGTTAAAAGCGGCTTTCTGATTGGTTTACTTTAGAGCAGGTGAGCTTGTCGTCGAGCTCACCTGCTTTTTGCCCGAACTCACCCGCTTTTCGCCGAACTCACCCGCGAAACTGCTCACGTTGCGATAACACTAACAAATATGGCGGACAAGATTTAGCCGATAAACCTTAACTTTAAAGAACTTTTTTCGGTGACTAACATACTGAGACTGAAGAAAAACCAAAGAAAAAATGCAATAAAGGTAATCTTGACGTAGATAAAGAAGTGTTAAGAGCCCAGTGATTTTTTTGGCCGGGAAAATGTTGACAAAACATCGACGAATATATCGCGAAGAGCTACAAATGTGTGTATGGCTCGGTGTATGGGATAAAAACCAAACGTACTTGCAGGTTCGATGAAGTACGTTTGTTATATTACCATTAAAGCATTCATATAGGGTCATATTGTTCACTGCTACTGTAGGACAACGATGTCTAACAGTAACTGCTGTGCATACTGCTTCAGCCCAAAATTTCGTATCCAGTCCAGCATTATGTATCATAGATCGTGCAGTTTCCTGAATAGTTCTATTCATCCTTTCTGCCACTCCATTCTGCTGGGGAGTTCTAGGTACACTAAGTTGGTGCTGGATTCCCTTCTCTTTAAGGTAATTAACAAATTCTTTAGAGGTGTACTCACCGCCATTATCGGATCGAAGAATCATGATTTTCTTTCCTGTGATATTAGTGACCATTGCTTCGTATTCTTTAAATTTATCAAGTAGTTGATCCTTGGTTTTCATGAAATAAACTGCTGTGAATCTCGATTTATCATCAATAAAAGTCACAAAGTATTTATTACCACCGAGACTGTTCTCTTGCATTGGTCCACAAACATCACTGTGAATAATTCCGAGAATTTCACTGGCTCGAGTTGCTTGTTCTTTAGGAAATGGTGCTCTCTTTTGTTTACCTTGTGCACAACCCTCACAAAAGTCAGATTCTTTAGTAGATTGGAAGTCCAATCCAGTCACTAATTTCTGATCTCGCAACAATCGTAAATTCTTCACACTCAAATGTTCATATCTCTGATGCCATAAATCCTCCAGATGCTCATTGGTAGCAGCATTAACATCATGACAGTCCACTTTCTTTTCACTGATATCAAGGACATATAGGTTGTTTTGCATTTACCAGATCCCAAAATAGTTCCACATTTGTCAAGAATAACACAACCACTCTGTTGAAGTTCAACCAAATATCCTCGCTTAGCAACAACGCTTACTGAGAAGAGATTCTTTGCTAAATCTGGAACATATAGGACGTCAACCAATCTAGCCGGTTTATACTCATTTTCAGCTTTAATATTAAGCCAGACTGTTCCTTTTCCCAAGGCTTCGACTACTCGATTATCACCCAAACGAACTCTTTGTGGGTTTACAAAATGAACATAATCAACCATCATTTCCTTATCATATGACATGTGCTGTGAAGCACCTGAGTCAATGTACCATGTCGAATCCTTGCAATTTACATGTTTTGATGACCAAAATGATGCATGTTCAGTAGTTGCACTTTACGATGAATCGTCTTTCTTTCCTTTTACTTCATCTGATTTGTCCTTCTTCGGTTCACGACATTCTCTTGCCCAGGATGTGACGTCACACGCAGTTCTAGGTTTTTCGCATACATTAACTATATTATCGACACATCAATTGTACTCCAGTGTTCAGTACAGTACAATGAATAAATCAGGAGCAAAAATATTCCTAAAATTGCGGTTCAAAAAGAGCGTGAACTTTTTCTTTTACTTTCATGCAGAGGGAGCTTTATCAAAAAACCACAGAACATCAAGCTCACGTCATCTATATCGTTATTTATACTGTACCCATTGACCAAAAGACTTGAAATGAATAAGATGCTGACCACATTAATATGTTCAGTTTCCTCTTTGACAATGTCAATTGGTTGTGGCAAATATAACAATAGATGAAATCTTACCATCTACGAATAGATGAAATCTTACCATGGACAGAGGCAACTCTGATAATGGCAACACTCCGACATACGCTTCCATCACGATATGAGTGTATGATTCTACATGATTGTCAATTTCAGAGTGTCCAGAATTAATGCTTTCAAGTAAGGGAATACTGCATGAAACTCGTCCCGGTTTTTTTCTTCCATTTTGGCAAAGTGTTCAAACACCATGCAGTCTGTTAAACCCTAATTGTATACTCACATGATTATCGTTCAAGTCTGGACTAAGTTGTATTATAAAAACATTATAGCTTCCTCTCTACATATATATTCAATCTGTCACTTTCCACTGTAATATTTATAGATGATTGGAAAAATGCACGAGTTAATCCAATTTATAAGGAGGGAAGTCGTCGAAATATGGGATATTACAGACCAATTTCTATATTACCTATATTAAGCAAAGTATTTGAGAAAGACGTTTTTCGACAAATTGATCAATATTTTAATGTAAATTTACTTTTATCGAAATTTCAATCTGTTTTCGCCCAGGTTATTCCACTTTATCAGCTCTAATCCAAATGTGTGATAATTGGTTTGAAAATATCGACAACGGAAAACTGACTGGTGTTGTCTTTTTAGACATTCGCAAAGCATTTGATACTACTGGTCATGAGATTCTTCTTGAGAAACTGAAATTTTATGGAATTACTGGGGTGGAATATGATTGGATCCAATCATATCTAACTTCCCCAAACCAACAAACTTTTGTAAATGGTTTTCTTTCAACGAAAAAAGAAATAATATGTGGAATACCTCAAGGGTCAATCCTAGCTCCCTTGTTGTTTTTAATTTATATCAATGATCTACCAAATTGTCTTGAATCCACAGTTCCATGTTTATATGCAGACGATACACAAATATTTGCTTCTTCTCACGATACTGAAGATCTTATCGATAAATTAAATTCTAACTTAGTTAATATAATGGACTGGTTAACCGTAAATAAACTCCAATCACATGCGAAAAAAACAAAGTTCATGCTAATAGGATCCGCACATAATTTGAGTGCTAAAGGCAACGAAGTAACTAATAGTATTATTATGAATAATAGTTGAATCGGTTCTTTCCCAAAAGTGTCTAGGGGTTGACCTGGACAATAGGTTGATATTTGATATTCACATTGAGAATTTGTGCAAAAAGATATGTTCGGAAATTGGTGCCTTAAGAAGAATTAAACCCTTTGTTCCTTTGCGTTCCTTAAAGATGTTATACAAAGCACTGATTCAGCCATATTTTGATTATTGCTCCCCTTTGTGGGATACATGCGGGAAGGTCCATAAAGATAAATTACAGGTGCTCCAAAATAGAGCGGCGCGAGTTATAACAGGAGCAAGATTTGATGTTAACTCGGCAAATGTACTGGAGGATTTGCAATGGTCCACGCTCGATGTAAGACGTCATAGGCTGAAGAGCGTTTTGATGTACAAAATTCTTAATAAGCAGTCCGCCCAAGTCTTAGAGAAAAATTTATAAAAATTAAAGATCTTAATAGAGAATATAATCTTCGAAGTAATGATACTACTGATCTAGCACTTCCAAAACCTAAAACAAACTATCTTAAACGAAGTTTTAAGTATAGTGGCCGGTGCAATGCTGTGGAATAGTTTTCCTTCTGAGGCGAAAAAGGCATCCTCGCTTTACCAATTTAAACGCAGTATGTCCACTATACCAGAGACCCATGCAGAGACTAGGATGTGAGTTAAGATAGTTTGTAAGTAAAATACGCCCCATCTGAAAATCAACTCATTGTATTTTACAAATATGTTGTGTATGGCCAGCGTGGTTAAATATTTTTTTAAGTAAGTAAGTAAGTAAGTAGCTTGTCGTGCAGTTATAAAGAAGCAAGCATACAGATTACCTACACTCTATACCATACTCCAAAAACCAATTGAGGATAATGGAAAGTAGATGCAAACACAGAAAAGTAACTATCAAGCGTCGCCTCAACCTCGTTCCCAGGGCTTTCGTATGAGGACGAGGCGAGGCACGAGAAATGAAATATACAAGTCTTCGAAACAAATAAACAGCCAAAAGACTTCTCAATCGATATTATTTATGTGTAGAGCGAAGTTTGGCACGAATCAGCTGAAATCACTGAAGACCCCATCCATGTTTTCTAAGATATACCGATATTTCTGGAGATTTTCAACCACAGGCAAAGCTACATCCAAGCTGCATCGAAGCTGCATCTAGGCGTCTCCATGCAAGTGGTGATTAACACGAAATTTGCTTTCTCTCGTTTTGAACAGTATGGCTATTGCTATTAATACTAGGGGTGCACCGGATTTGGTATTTTCAAATCCGGCCGGAACCGGATTTACCGGATTTGGACAAAAATTCCGGCCGGAATTCCGGCCGGATTTGAGATAAACCGGTAATGGGGACAATTGGGGATAAATCAGTATTCAAAATGACGGTTTATGTTTTTTACTATTTTTAGTTAGTGTCAGTTTAGATTTTTGATTGTGTTTAAACCTTTTTTAAACATCTTTTTGTTAATAACTTAATAATTTATAATAATATAAGTGTTTTTTAAACTTTAAAGCTGCCAAATTGATGGTTTATCCCATTCTTGGTGAATTTTTAAGGTGAAAACAGAAATTTAAAGCCGGATGCCGGAAAATTTGTTAAATCCGGCCGGAATTCCGCCCGGATTTGAAATCCGGTGCACCCCTAATTAATACTTAGTTTAAATATGTTCTTATAGATCTGTCTTAGTTCAATATAAATAAACACAAATATAAAACCTCGCGTAACCTGTTTACGCTGTACAGGAATATACGGATTTGCTTGTTTCGCCGGACACCAACACTAGTTGCCGTTCAGGAGCAATGCTTGCCCACAAATTTTATCCCCTTCACAATCTTTGTTTTATTTTATCGTATAGTCGCAATTTTCAAGTATTCGGAGTATTCTGAAACTGTAAAACTCGGTGGCGTGACGAATCTTGTAGAGACTACAATACATCGGTCTAGGCAAAGTGCTATTAAGTAAACGGAGCCTAAATTAATTTAGCAGTTTCATTTAATTGTTTCTGTTGCTTTTATTTGTCAGTACAGAATATTGTAAATTAAAATATTACTACAATGCAATACGCGTAGTATTTCATCGGTCATCTGTACTACATTATAAATACTGTACAAGGAAAACCACAGCTTAAATAATAGTAGACGTTTCTTGTTTTGTCAGGAAACATCACGGCTCACGTCGACCCTGCTTTTAAGTTTTGTAACCGGCCAAGGCGAAAGTAAATCATGCAGCCGGGAAAACGTCTTACTTCGAAAGATTATTTTGCAAAACATTCTCGTACTCACACGAATCATAAAAATACAAATTTTGAATTGTTATTGTCAACTGTCAAGTTCAGTTATTTTTAGACAATATGGTGTTAGCCAATCAGAATGCAAAATTGACCGGCCCAGACCAGGGCTTTCTCGTGCCTCGCGTCGTCCTCATACGAAAGCCCTGGAAACGAGGTTGGCGTCGCTTTCCGGCATAAAATATATATTTCCAACAGCAGAACGATGCTCAGGCGAAATTTTTCAGACTGTACAAGTTCTATATTATCTTTAAGCGGATAACACGAATATCGAGGGGAAATTGTTCAGGAAGGTTGAAGCTTTTCCATAAACGTCTAACAAGAATTCCCAAGGCACTTGCCGAACTAGCTTCACAGCTTTTGTCACGGTTGTTATCTCTTGCAGCATTTCACAAAGCTTCACACATAGATCTTGTTGCAGATCGTTACCCAGCACATAGTATTAAGAATAGCGAGAGAAGTAGAAGAGCTTCTCAACGTATCACTCTTATTAACTTATATGGAAATAGTCAGCCAACGCGAGCACGATGGAAGTAGCTAAGCAGTGGGGAAAACAAGGAAGCAACTATATCTCCTTTATTATCGACTGCTGGAAAGAACTAAAGTTCGAAGATTTGACTGGGTTGATATTATACGCTGCACGAAAAGAGAAGCTTCAAATGTTCTTCTTCAAGTCTACCTATGCAATTGTTGTAACAACAAAATTGCAGAGTTAGAATGTGATCACGAAGAAACTGACACCCGTTTGCTGCTTCATGCTGAACACGCATCCAACAATTGCTTTTCCGTTGTAGTCCACACACTGATGTGTTTATTCTTACATTGGCTATGCAACAGAATTTTGATGGATAGATAGATAGTTTAATTGTACATAATATCGCATTCCTTTAAGAATGAATTGCCATATGTGTTACAAAAGTATGCTAAGATTAAGAAATATGATGGGTCCTACAGTACCTATTACAAATAACTAATCAGTATCTAAAAAGCGAAAATCGTTAAAAAACTGCTGTGCATGTATATACATTAAGATATTTCCGATCGTGTCCGTTTTAAGTTTAATCTATCAATTAAAGATGGGAAGAAACTACTTTTCTATCTATTAGTCCTGCATAAAAACGACGTGCGGTTTTTACTATTACGGAGATCACGTCCATGTACACTTTCTCTAGTCGAAGGTACCAATCGGGAAGAAGGAGTGTCCCTTTGTTCTATTTTCTCCACAGTTTTCATGCAAATTACTTCTCTTCTCTCATACAAACTAGAGCATCCTAATTGTTTCATTGCCTCTGCATACACCAACGCTGGGCAAATTATTCTAAAAGCTCTTTTTTGGATTTTCTCGACGTCGTCCGATAAATATTGGGGTAAGCTTGTATGCTGATCTGATCTGTTCTGTCTGATCTTGTATGCTGATGCTGATCTGATCTTGTATGCTGATGCTGATCTGTTCGTCATAACAAGGAATCAGAATCAACCAGGATTATTTCCGTTAACGAAGTATGCAATAATGTGGGCCATCAGACGTGCGACTTGATTATTTGGTTTCATGCATTCACAGGTTGCGACTCTGTCGAAAAGCACATCCAACAAGCCACTTACCAAGCTTTTTTTGTTGTTTTTTTCTGGAAACGAGGTTTGGTTACTTCACTTTTCCCACCAAACCCAGTTGGAAATGGTTGCCAACTCAGGGAAAGTGCCCTGGTCATTCACTGGACGACCAACAGCGTTGCACCTGGTCAGCTTTTCGAATTTGTACATTGTGGCTGCAAGAGACACTGTGGAACACAAAGGTGTTCTTGCTTTAAATCTGAGCTCCAGCCTGCAGTGCACGGAGCTGTGCAAGTGCTAGACCGCGAGAAGTCCCTCGGGAGAAAGTAGGGACTGCCGACAACATACCAAGAAACGAAATACGCGTTGCTCACAGAACGCAAATTCCCATTGGTCAAAATCGATGTGCCTCTCAATCAAATCTGATATGTAGTAATTATGCTGTAAATAATTTCCAGACTGAATGTTGATTTTATAAATAAACATGACATTAACGATTCCTATCGGATAGATTTAATTGGATATAAGTAATGTTTATGCGGAGCCAACTTGGCAAGAGCGGAAAGTGGGCGTATTTCGTTTCTTGATGTGTTGTCGGCAGTCCCTCCTTTCATCTCGCACGCCGAGATAAAAACAGTTTCCGACATTACATCTGATGACGAGGAATACTTGTATGGCGAATCCATCGAAGATTCAACATTAGATCCGGAAATTAATGTATTGTATTGTATTTTATTGTATTGTATTGTAAACTAACGATGTCTAAAACATTTCCCATGGGCTGCATGGCAACGGAACGATATTCGTCCCGCTGGTTAAAGATAATAGAACTTGTGCAGTCTGAACAATTTCGCTTGAGCGACGTTCTGCTGTTGGAAATATAATTTAGGCGACGCTTGATTAGTTTCTCTACTGTGCTTACACAGAAAAAAGTGGCCATGCATCTACTTTCCATTATTCTCAATTGGTTTTAGGAGTATGGTATATAGAGTGTAGGTAATCTGTATGCTTCTTTATAACTGACTAGCTTTAAGTACGAAGTTTTGTTTTCTTGTAGCCTGCAGTATTTTAGGTTAAGTATTTTAAATTGAATTTAGGAGTCACATAACTGCGTTGTTTCTGCAGTCTGTATAGGTGCGACTTTTAACGCATTGTCCGTTATAAGTCGCCAATTTTTAAATACGATGTACGGATTAGCATAAAATGACTGTACGCTCAGAATGCGGGAAATCGCGTTACTGAGGACCTATATTTCAAAATCTTTTGAATCCTTCTACAATCGCATGCCCCAATGACGATCAGTCGCAATTATGCTGAATCTGCCCTCGAGTTATCCGCATTTTTAGAGGAGCAGAAAAGTATTGAATAAAAAATTTCTCTGCTTTTTAATTCTTAAATAAATGTTTCTCTCGCTTCTGAATGCTGATTTTATAGCACATTGGTATAGTTAGTCAGCTTGCAACCAGAAGGTTCCTTGATTTCGGCCTGAACCCGGACATAAAAGGACTGGAGAGAGTAAATTTCACTAAATACCATCGCTCAGAATGTGGCCAAAATATGAAGATTTTGAAAACTTTGGATAGGGATTTCTCGAGAATGTGGGCAGGTGTCTTTCTGGGTAACTTTTTTGTGGATATATGCAGTATTAATAATTATGATTATGTAAAAGTTTTCTACTTCCCAGAGGGGTGCCACGAAACGAAAGAATTCCATCTGAAGGCCCACGGTCTATAAATATAATGTCAATCTAACCACAAATACAAACCATTAAATAAGAGTTGATTGAAAAAAATTACGAAAAGAAGTACTGTATCCCCGATGATGAAGCTATTGGGGGGGAAGGTATGTTACGTATGATGACAGTCATGTTACGTATCAATGTACAGTAACACGGTAGGAATGGCGGATATGCAGGGCCAGATAAAATATATCTGAAACAGATTATACTTAGAAACGTTATATCAGAAACAGATTATACTTACTGAACAGGACGCCATAACTTATGTGACGTCGGAATTGGTTTCTGGTTGACAACGCAGCATTAATGAAATTCTTCTGGATCGTTCAATCATATTTCCATTCCAGATCGACTGTTCTGGCGACAATATCTCGTGTGTAAACTCAAAGCGAATTGTATTCCTGAAAACGATAACTAAAAAGTGACTTTTAGATTTTAAAGATTATTATAAATAAAGTCAAAAATCCTGAGAATTTGCAAGATTACACAGAGTAGAACACTGTGACAATCTTAAACTTTATTGCTCGCTGATTAAGACTATTCTTAAAGAACGCTCTCAAATATAGCAGTAGTTAATGTGACGTGATATTTTGTACATACCGGGTGTCCCAAAAAAAAGTACTCCTGTTTGATTTGTAATAACTTTTAAACAAGTAAAGCTATCAAACAGAAATAAATTGCATTAAATAAAGGAAGGACTAACTTAGATTTTGATATGTTACAGTTGTATTTTACTTAAGAATTCACGGAGATATTAATGTTCAAAATCGGGAGCACATTTTGGTATGTGTCTAAAATTAGCGAAAATCGGCATATCAAATATTAACTCCAGTTCAGGCTAACTTGTATTTCAGCGAATTGTCGTTAGGGTTTGTAAGAGATATGGCGTAGATTTAGACATCTTACATGTATGTCTTAACTCATTGTTTCCTCAAATATGAACTTTCAAAATTATGCAAGTATTTAATAGGTCTTTGCAAACTTAAAGGTACATGAAAGACCATGCAAGGCAGGCGCTTAAATTTTTCTTAAATAGCCTAATTTTTTTATGTGTTTCATGGGTTCAAAACAAAGTTGATTATTTCTCGGTTAGAGCAGGATGAATATTATTCTTTAATGAAGGAAATAATATTGCTTTTTGCAAATACACATCACAGTATCAACGCTACTATTTTGTTACGTTTTGTTCCAAAAATGTTGGACGTCTCTGGGGAGTTGCTTGTTATGTCTTTACTTATGGAGTTGTATGCCTAGTTTGATTTTGTTTCATTCTCAGTTTATTCTGAACTTGCCAAGATTAAGAAAGGCAAAAGAGTTTGGGTGTTCTTAACAAGATTTCAGAACGTTGCAGAAGTTAGAAAATTCATTCAATGTGAAGTTAGAAAATTCACAATTCCATTGTGACAGCTAGCATGCCCTAATTCAGAACTACGAACGAACGCTCCATGATGATCCTTCGTGATGCAGTGGTCTCATGAAATAAGGAAACGTATTCGTGCCAGGAACACACGCGGATTTCGGACGAATAAATTTTGCTTGTATAATAATACTTTGTTCACAATAAACAATTTGTCAAGTGTCATTTATTTACTGGTAATAGTGCATGTTTCAGTCGGGCAAATCTTGATTAATATTTGATACGCCGTTTTTTGCATATTTCAGACACATCCAGGAATATGCTCCCGATTTTAAACACTAATATCTCCGTGAATTTTGAAGTGAAATACAACTGTAATATATCAAAATCTAAGTTAGTCATTCCTCTATTTGATGCAAGTTATTTCTCTTTAAAAGCTTTACTTGGTTAGAAGTTATTACGAATCAAACCGGAGTACTTTTTTTTGGGACACCCGGTATATGTAAATATTCTTATAGTACCGTATTTCACGCGCTCTTTAAATTTTCAGAGGTTCAGATGCGGCGCTCATTCGGGGGCGGCGCTCTTTAAAAAATATTTTATTTGTCGAATTATAACAAGAACTTTTAACAATAAAAGTAGAACTTTTGTCACTAAATGGTCCCCATTTTGACGGCGGAAAGTTTTTACACTATTTAGTGCGGCGCTCATTCGGGGGCGGCGCTCTTTAAAAAAATTGATCTAAAATGCGGCGGTCATTCGGGGGAGCCGCTCAGTCTGGGGCGGCGCTCAATCGAGTAAATACGGTATATAGTTAATCATGTGATTATTATTTGCATGACAAAATTACGAATTTTACTCACTCATTCCTTTTAAACCGCATTGTACTCAGTGTCTGTTCAAGTTTCCTTCAAAACATTTCGCCGCGTTCATTTCCAAACGTTTATCTCGAAATTTCTCTCCAAAAGAAAAAAATTCACTCTCACACTTTTTGAACCGCCATTTTGAATATAGTTGCTCGAATTTGTACCCAAGCTCACTCCTGCTATACAAACTGTACAATTAATAAAATTCCCCAGTAATTTTGTCATGTTTATATTAAATTATTTTACAGTTTCATCTTAATTATTCTACCTTTCGGCAATTACTTGTAATGAAATTAATGAAGAACTTTCCAGAAGGGATATATGCTATTGAATAAATTATTATTATTATTATTTAACAATTATTCGCCGAAGGCGAGGTGATTATCGGTGAATAAAAACCGAGACGAAGTCGAGGTTTTTATTCACGATAATCACCGAGCCTGAGGTGAATAATTGTTTTAGTATAATTTCATAGATGATTATTTGGAAAAAAATAAAAAAATGCACACTTCTTTGTCTTTTAATTGAGAAAACGGCTTCGGCCGCCATTTCGAAAATCACTTAGGTGATTATTGCGTAATAATCACCTCAACGGTAACCAATCAGCGTGGAGAATTTTCAATAATCACCTATGTAATTATACTAATATTAATTATTAATTATTATTATTAATTATTATTATTAATTATTATTATTATTATTATTATTAATGATCACTATTATTATTGTGAGTTGTTGTTGTTGTTACATGGAAATTTTTTTAGTAATACCACCAGTAGGTAAAATAGAACTAGAAAATGTTGTGAAATAAAATCAGCGTACCGTAGAAAAGTGTGCGTGTGTACTTCACCTGCAAATGTATAGAGATCGCCGAGAGAGGAGAGCATCTATTGTGACACGCTTGAAGCTTTCGTGACGAAACCGCATTATTGATGGTGATAAGAGACTCAGTCCAGCTATTGTTGAACCACAAAACTAAAAGCGTAAAGCGCAATGACCTTATCGTTTAATTAGCATCGTACGTACATTGATAGTAAGGTTTCAAGAGAGATTTGAAAACTAACTGCACGAGCGCGTTTTTCAAAGACGATCAAAATTGCACGAGTTCGCAAGTTAATGATATACATGAAAGAATTACACGCTTCGATAACATCTGATTTTCAGTTAAAAGTGTACAAAAATTCGTCAAAAATGAAAAGTTACATTGCTAGTATCACGTTGATTTTCCCTTCCTCGTTTTAACACTGTGCTCTTACACGTCTTGTCAATTTGCACTACAGAAATTGCACAACTTCAAAAGAATTGCACTCTCTCAGCCAATCAGTATCGAAAGGATACATAAACCACAAATTAAAATGACAAAATACAAGTACATATGAATTGCATAAATTACGTCAGCAACAAAATATACTTAAAGAAAATGTGGGCTAGGAGCGGGGTCATGGGGTGGGAGTATAGGGATCAATCTGATACACTATAATAAGGATCACGTGAAGTATATACCGGTCGACTAGCAAAAGTGCGTTCTAAAATTTCCCAGAATTTGTGTCGCATGCAAGAAAAACATTGAACAATAACACACTGCACCTTCACACTATCAACATGAGGCTTGATGAATCTGAAAATAAATTTGATGAAATGCATTTATATTGACATAATGAATAGTACAATTCTTCCCGTCCAATTAAGGATATCTTCTTTCCCGTCCAATTAAGGATAACTAATACGGTTGGTCATACGAAGGTAGAATAAGGCTATATCCACCAGATAGTGAAGTTTAATTTGGGTCATAACAATAAAACGAACCCGCAATTTTGAAAACATGTTTAACTGAGCGTACAATATATCAATTAACAAAATTTTGTACCAGATATCATGCAGTCATGATTACCTTTGTGTTTTATTAATTATTAAAATTATTTCGATATGATTACAATATTATCGATGCGCCCATGCATGAAAATTCTGTAATACACCTACCCCTTTGAATCCAGATCCAAAACATGTACGTAAGGCAACAGTGCATGTGTAGAGTCAAAGGAGGCATCCTTCATTCTTTTGAACACCATCATACAAGGCTTCGACCAATTTTCCTTTTCAGATTCCCTGTAGCCATGAATTGCCTATAATTGAAAGCACGCATGAGTACTTAAAAAACATGCACGACTTTGGCACAATAGCCCATTACCAGCAAGATTTTATTTTACGAGTGGGCGAATACAACTTAATAATCGACATGCATGCGCGATAGGTACTGATTGATTAAAAGTAACCACCAATATTGAAATATATTTTCACACAAGGTGCGGAATTGAGAAGGACTCAAAACTGCTTGCATAACGAGAACAGCAATCCTTAAAGGCCTGATTCCACGAGCGCTTTTTCTCGGCGAAATGCGAATTATTTCGCCTGTTTCTTTTGAATTGTGAGCAATCAAGTAGAAATAATTTATTCTAGTAGTCGCAATTCAAAAGAAACAGGCGAAATAATTCGCATTTCGCCGAGAAAAAGCGTTCGTGGAATCAGGCCTTAATAAATAGGGAATTATAATCATGTTTCGCACACGACTTTCTCTTTGACTTCGATTCCAATCACAACACTAACCCTATTGTGCGCACAAGACTAGCATATCGAGTGGTGTCATATCTTTATATATAAAAGTCGCAAAGCCGCCAATATCGCAGGATGTAACTACGAATATACTTCCTGTTTTCTGATAAAGGTCAAGCATATTACTGCGCAAAAAAAGCTCGGTAAAAAGACCTATTTTAGATGCATTGTATTTCCTCAGCTCAGACTCATCAGCAATATATTGAGAAAGGTCAAAGAATGAAAGGTGAAACATTAAACCACAGCGTTTAGTTTCATTAAACTTATGGAGTTTGTAAACTCAAAAGGTATCATGTTGTCACATAATAAAGTATGTATAAATGCCCTGCGTTACTTTCTTTTACAGAAGAAATAGCAATGAAAATGGATGCAGTTTTTCACAGCGATAATGAAAAATCCATTGCGCAGATGCTGTACATATATTCTTAGCCTAACTTGAATCTTCAGAGATACTCGTATATAAAACGTTGTCAAAATGGACGGCGTTTTAGGAACGAGCAATATGTATCAGAAAATCTTTAATAATAATCTCTAATATTATGTTTTCGTAAATTAGTTGAAATGATTATGACGAATTACTTATAATATTCGTAGCATACATTCTTTGCAAGCATTACGTGTTTCAACTCAGACACAAGTCAATATAGGTAGCAGCATTTATAAACTTTTGAAAAACGAAAGTATTACTGAAAAATTGTACACATTTCGGTAAGTTAGTGAAAAAGGTATGTCCGAAAATTCTCCCCCCCCCCCCCGGCTTGCCAAAAAGTTTGGTAATACCCAAGTTCATTCCTCTACGAGTGCGAAATCATGTGAAATGTCTCTCCTCTCACGAGGATTATTACAAAACAGGCGTTGTAATATAATTCCTCTAGTCTCCTTTACACTGCTTCAATATGCAAATACCTTAGTTAGGTCTGGGTCATATGAGAACGCTTAGAGTACCTATTTTTATCTGCCGCTTCCAAGAAATAGACTTCTCAGAAAATAGTTAAATAACATCAAATATTCTCTCTGAATATTCAGCGAGTCGATGAAATAATTTTTCTTGCTTAATTCAGTAAAAATATAAAATAGCAAGAGAAGGCTAATTATTTCCTCTCAGTTCATAGTACAAGAAACCGGTCAGAGAAAGCCAATTTTCAGCCAAAGCCCAGAGGCTAAGCCAAAGGAACATACCGAAAGTCACCACACGAAAGCCAAAGGAATATACTGAAAGTTACAAAGCGAAAGTTACCACGTTAGACCTTCAAAAGCAACAAAGGAAAATACTTTAAATAAAAGGATGGAAGGCCGAGATGATGACGTTATCGAATTAAATGTCAGTGGTCAAACAATGACGACAAAAAGAACTATATTGTGTGAAGTTGAAGGTTCTTTACTTGCATCAACGTGCAGTGGGCGTTGGAAAGACAACATGTCACAAGACAAGGACGGACGGATTTTTCTAGATTTTAATCCCACATATCTTGCTTCTATTTTGGATGATCTTCGCGCAAAGAAAATTCCAACTGCATGCTGAAGAACCTGCGACCTTGCCTACATTTGCTCAGATCAAGTGAATAATTCACACACATTATTCAGTTCCCTTGCCATCAGGTTTTCCAGTGACCGATTAAATCAAATATTATGTATTCGTAGCCTAGACTATTTATCTTTATAACAATTGTGATATTACTTTCCTAATTATGTTTATCCTAACACGCGCCCTGTCAACTTTCCCCATGGGAGGAACCGGAGCGCCAGGAGAAACCCCACGACTTCCGGCAGAGCGTACACAGACTCTCTTTTTCACATGAATCCGTAGCGAGAATCGAACCCACGATCACAGAGGTAAATGGCGCTTGCTGTGCGCCACCAAATCCCCATGCTTATGCTCAATCATTGAATATCTCGAACTTGGCGATGAAATGTTTCCCAACGTAACGGAGTCATTTAAAGAATATAATCAGGGAATGAAAGTGGAAAAAGATGGGTCTGTGGCAGCATACTACGCTCAGGAACAACCCGAATCTGTAGAAAGAGAGATTGGGCTGAATATGTCTTTGGTCAAAATATTTACGAACGGGGAATAATTCGGTTGACGTTAAAAGTCGATAATTGTCCTCAATATGTGGATGACATTTGGACAAGCATAGTGCGTGGAGACGTTGGCCCCGAATGTATACATGCAGTATTACGGCTCGGCTTTTCACGGATGGCAAATTATACATACAGTAAACTATAGATTATGGAAGAAATATTGTAGTAAGTTACAAGGGATGAGAATGTTTATATTTACACCTCACTATTAAAAGGATCTTTTTGAAAATCGAACATAACATCCTTGTGTACATTTGTTTAGTAATTTCAAAACGTCACTATCTAGCATATCCATAGCTCACATTTTTTCAATTTTTTGGCATTTACTATTCCATGCACAACAATTCCACACTGTGACACAATATTCAAGAGTAGGGCGAATTATAGGGATCATTTCCGATACACCCTAGCATCCCTATTCTCCTACCAGCCTTGGACAAAATATAATTAATATGAGATTTCCATGTAACTCATTTGTCAAATAAAGCTCTAAGACAGTTAACTCCAGGTACTCACTTAAGGTGATTCATCAGTTTTGCATTGCGCAGTTTTACTGCCCATATCTAATAACAAATTCTAGCTAATATATATAGTCCAAGTGCAAATTAAGGTACAGTGATAAAGGAAGAGTAAGGGCAAAAAGAAAACACCCTGCATTGATTAGGCAGGCTTCAGGAAATATACCTTCAAAAATGATAGAACTCTGGCAAGGCCCCTGTGCAACTAATACTAAACCACATCATGTTGCATATTTTACCCTTGTTACAAGTATCTCCTGTATCTCTTTAAGAAGGTCCGTGACCTTAATTTTTTATATTTTTGTTCTTCTGTCCGTTTCACATATGTATCATATCGGAAAATAAGAGAAAAATAAGTTATACAACTTACAATATTTTACATTTTTCGAGCATGCTTCCCAAAATAACATGTCTGAGAAGATGGGAAAAGACATCTTTGCACCACGAGAATGCATGTCAATGGTTTTTGATCCCCTAAAATGTTTTCTTGAATATAATCACTAGATAGACGCTTTTAGCAGGATTTTTGTTGAAAAATTCAATAACGGTTGAGCAATTGCGATTGTTCCGATCCTGTAACTCGTAAAAAGGTCAACATGGCGCAATACGGGGGGGGTGTGTGGCAAATTGTACTTTTCATATTTTCGAAAAGAGTCCGGTTACCCCAACTCTTCTGTCTGTTTTTACTATGAGCATATCATAAACTTCTCTCCTGGGAAGTTTCAGGAAATCCTCTTTTCCAGAACAATTACTGATATCACCTTAAAGGCATGGTGTCACCTGCTGAGCGATGTGATTTAATCGGCGTGAAACTTTGAAAAAGTTCGTGAACTTTTTCAAAGTTTCGCATTTGTGTGAAAGAAGTAACGATATTATATGACTCAATATATGTCTCATTACGTCATAAAAGTCTGCCCAATTCACACAGTATCTTCAATATAGATAGATTTATGAAAATAACTTGAATTGTGGCCTCTCAACATGATAAATAAAATAAAATTACATTGTTATTTTGTCGCGATGGCATAAAAATCACATCGCTTAGGAGGTGACAGTGAGCCATTAACAGAACGTCCGCTAATCATGATACAAAATTTATCAGTACGAGCCAGTTTTGCATGGGTTGCAAACAACATTGATTCAGTTTTTGAGGTATTCACAAACAAACAATTGTCTCGCAACCGTTCCCATTAACACAAGTTCGTCATTCACCATTCAGCGTAAAACAGAACAGTCAACAGTATCGGCCGCGCACACTATAGTATATGCTGCAGTTATTTAGTTACGACATTCGGCAGGTCATTAACATACAGAACAAACAACATGGGGTCAAGTATTGAGCCTGATGAACGACGGGAGTTAAGGGCCAAGAGTCGAAAAAACACGCCTTGATATCCAATACTTTGGTTTCTGTGATGTAAATACAGTAGTTCTCAAACCAAGCATATTCTTGGTTCACGGGAAGTTTCTTCAGTAACATGGAGTGATATATGCTTTCAAACGCTTCTCGAAAATCAATGAATGCTGCCCTATGATGCTGCCCCTGTCGATCTTCTTTGTTCAATTAGTGTCAGTAAATGACAGGGCTGCAAATTCCGTTGAAAGCTCTTTTCGAAAACTACACTAGTAAGGGCTGAGAATATATCTTCCCTTGAGTATTCACCGAGTCGACTGTGAACTTCTCCCTCCAGTATCTTTATAGATGTATAAATCCTGATAGACATATAGATCCTCGATATCACCCAAATAGAGGAATTACACGTGGAGAATTCCAGCTAACTGGTACTCGACCCTGCCGTAAAAAATCATTAATTATCAACGGTTTTGAAGCAATGTCTGCAGAATCCCAACGTACGTACGGATGAAGGTTTTGCAGTCAAAGATGATGTACGTTTAAAACTTGCAGTAATTCCTACGCAGAACAATAACTTAGATGCAGTACATTCAGGGCGCTTCATACCCTCTGTTCAGTCAGGGTGCGATAATTCAATATTTTTAGTCGTACCTGACTGGTACGCCAATGGTTGTTGTCCTCAATGTATATTTTATAGTCATTAAAATAAGGTTCATAAAGTACAGGTTTCTGAGAAGTACGTTCTGACTACGAGGTAGGAAAAGAAGCACAATTGCATACACAAGCAATCAACTCCAACGTTTCTTAGTGCCATCAGTCCAATCACGTTTCATGCCAAGACATCTCAAACACATGATATACCAACTAAATAACGGTATTGACTACCTTGGGCTTGGTCATGAGGTACCAGCAAAATGTAAGTACGCAAATAGCAAGAGTTACACGTGCCCGCGTGGTACGTGGCAGAAAACAAGGAAGTACCAGACCGTAATATTGGAGTACCTCCGATACGTAAGTACGCGACTTATCGCACCCTGTCAGTGGTTAGTACTACAAGAACAACTACGTACACCGAGAAACGTGTATTGTACCGTCTAGATCTGTTGTGTATTACTATGTCCAAAAATTCTATAGTATTCGTTCTTTTCTTTGGTATATAATTCAGTATATAATTATGTTCCTTGCCAAGCTATTTCCTTTCTTAGTATTCGTTCTTTTCTTTGATACTTGTTAGTTTAGCTATTGTACATGCATGTAGTATATAATCATGTTCCTTGCAAAGCTATTTCCTTTCTTAGGATAGTTCAGAACAACAGCATTTCTTTAAGACTTTTGTCGCTTCTTTCCTTAACATTGGTTTGGACCAAAAAATATCAACGAATTGAAACAGCAATTCAGTCCGGATAAGAAATGCGCCCAGGACCAGATACCAAGAAATGTATCCCTTTCCACATAAGAAAATAACGACGATGCAAGAATCATGGAAGGTAGGAAACAGAAACCAAATGTACATACGACTAAAAAGCACGATTTCGCTAACTTAAGTTCCCTGATGAAACGTATTTTCAATTTCGTCTGTGAGTCATTTTTCAGCGCTGCCACTCCAGGTCGATTGCGAGGATCCAGCCGTTTTCGGGCCGTCAAAAAAATGCTCATGTACACGAATATAATAAACAGCAGGCACATAATTCCTCCGGTAGCGAATGTAATGCGAGGCAAGGATAGGTCCCGTTCAGCAAAGCTAGAAAAAATGAGAGATGAGAGCAAGGATGCAAAACAGAAGAACATAAACATTCTCCTCTTCGTCACTTTTGTACGATGAACAAGCGGATACACAACACCCATATATCTCTCAAAGCTTAATCCGCAAAACATTAGCAGAGATAATGCCATTGGATAAAATCCTATCGTATGATAAAGCCAACATATAACTTCGTTTTGTGTACGTGTGATGTCTTGGTCAATGGAATACGCTGTGAGTAAAGGTAAAACGATTAACCCAAAAATTAAGTCGACTACTGATTGAAGGAAAATTAAAAAGTAGCAGACTTTCTCCTTCAGCTGAGAAGAACGTGAGATGGTTAAAATCGAAATACTGTTAAGCAATACTATTAAAATAAACAGCACGCCGTAGAAGCCACATGCGATCAATTGATTTACGACAAATCTGTTCGAAGGTACCGTCTCTGCAAATTGACAAATTTTTGTCTCAAAATAAGAGAAATTTCTCATTGCTTCACATTGTTGAATTACCGTCAATGCCAATAACAGCCGTATTTTTAAAATGAAGTGCACATGTATAGCCTATATTGATTTGGCATTGCACAGATTGATTATTTATTTTTTAAACAATAATTACGATTTAAGACAATGGTCCTTTTAAGACCCATTCTACAATACAAGACTACTGCATCTATATTATTATATTGCTCTTGTATCATTGACGTAATGTATAACAGCAGATGTGAAGTTTAGCAATTAACCCACAAAAACAATTCAAAATCAAGGCCAGCAAAAAAAGCCTACTTAAATCTGACGTAGATCGGCATCTGTTGCAATTTTTTATATCGGATTCGGAATTGCAATTTTTTTTATCGGATTCGGAATTGCAATTTCGAATCAGCTGCAAACACTAGCAAACACGAATTCCAAATTTCGTTTCTCCTATGACCGTATTTTTAATATATTCCTATAGTCCTACTTCTTCATTAGAATAATTCACAAGTTTCCAGGATTAGAACTTAACAACACAGGCGTAATATATCTTGTAACAAATACACATTTTGTTTACGGTTAATACAGTACACAAAGTATGACTGAAAAAGGTGTTGCATGGAGAACGATTAATTTGTTCTTATGTCGAAGGTCGATTTCAGGTGTGAAGTACAGTATGTCTGATACATTAGCAAACAAAAAATTAAAAACTCTCCATAAGCATGCAAGGATAAACCGGCTGTAGATTTTCGCACAAAACAACTTCAGAAGTTTTTTATGACTTTGTTGAAAGTTTAGCATCGTGTTGTAGGACTTCGACTAGATTCTAATTAGGTCAACATTGCCGAAAGCTCGTTTTCGAGGACTGAGCAGTTTAATGTTGAAATTAAGAAAGGAACTGCGTCTGCCATATATAAATATTTCAAATGCGCGCACCTGTTACTTGGTAGATTGTATTATACTTCTAAATTTGAAGAAAAGGCGAAAATTAAACTTTAGTTACTAGTTGTTTTTTTTTCAAAATCATGGACATGTATTGTACACATTTATATTGCATATATGGAAAATCGAACATACAGTAATTGCTCATATCAAGAAACAATTAACAACTATAAAGAAACCGTGAGCCAATATGTTTGACAAAGCGAAACTTTCAAGTGACAATATTTCTGACAACCAGTTTTTAATTTCAAGCTTGACATATTGCAGGATATTAATAAGTACTCTTCTTCTACTATCCTTGTACAGTAGTAAAAACTCAATCTTTCTCCGTAATTTAAATTATATTTTTCACAATATACTTTGACGAAATTGTGACACAGGCGGATAATTCACTGCAAAAGGAAGAAAGTACTCAAATAACTTCAGTCATCGTTGTATATTCTTCGACACGCCATTAAAAACCTCTTTTAAAATGGCCATATATTTTTGCTCAAAAATTTTGGCTAAATGCAGGAAATGTTATTTCATGGAGGCAAAATGAATGATGCACCCTACTTTAGTATTAAAATACTCTGTGTAACATCAGATAATTTTACTCATCAAGAAGTGCTGCCACTCAATTGGCTATATAAACTTTTAGAACATAATATAGATGCACCATGTCTCAAGCACCCCTTTCCTATAAAATGATGGAAAAGTGCCATAAATTACAATTCAAGATTGTTTCGTATACTACCCCTGCCTGTACACACAAGATATGTACTGTACGACCTTATACAGTACTATAACATAACCAATTAGGTTGGATTGTGTTCTAATATGCACCATAGTCCATACTATTATTTTATTCTGTCCAATGCCAGACAATTTTACTCGTTGAGTGCTGGTGCTCAATAGGTTCGATAAATGTCTGCAGTGCAGTATGTGCATGAACTTAATAATTATTGTAAGTTGTGTTGTGCCCTAATGCGCCCTACTTTATCATTTTATCTGTAAAATGCCACATGATTGTACTCATCAATGGGTTAAATAAATACACAGTGGAAATTAACAAGCTGACACCGTATTTTCACATCATTTCCTGCGGTTTGTTCTACCTAATCCTAGTCAAATCTCACTTGTAAATGGAGTAATTGAAAAAGCTCTGAACAATCACACGACCATGCTCTGCTCAGAAAATTTGGAGTCATTTAAATATAAGGGATTTTCTTCCATCAGGGTAGAAGCGCAAGCGAGGCTGCATTCTGGTTTATGTATAAAGGTGTGAAGATCTTGCACTTGGAGTTATCATGAGGCTTGACATACTAGTGTGCACCTTGATTAATATGTGACCTTTCTGTCCAGAGGTATAATTTTGCTCTGGTTTCAAAACCTCTTTAAAAGGAACAGCAAGCAAAACAAAATACAAAAAGAGATGCCACAGTCTCTGGTCAAATCGAGTGCGGATCTCACTTCCATGCTTGATTAGGTTCAATCAGAATCTGCACCTCATGTGTGATTGGCAACTTGCAAAAGTATGCCAAACAAACATAGCCAATGTACTTGCTAAAAGCTGTACACTTGGTACCGGTAGGTGATAACTATAATTTTTTATAGCTATTTGACATATTTATTTCCCAAATTTAATAATGGATTTCAAGGGGATAAAAAAACAGTGGTCTAAAATCAGAGATCTTGTCAACAGGAGGTAGGGAGGGGGTCCATGCATGCATGTGGATAAATGGAACGAGGTTGTTATTTGTTCGGTCACAGGAACCAACAATTGCTTTGGCTATTTGTCTGTGAATTAATTTGATACATTCATTTAAATGACAAGCGGTTGTTTCACACAGTAAAACCGAAACCTTACCCGAATCTAACCCCTTCCCTTAGCCTGCGAACAGGCTCACTGGGAGAAAAGTGAGCCTGCACAGAACCAGAGAGCATTAATTGTGAATTGCAGTCATAGTTGAATCACAATAGAGCATACTTAATTTATAATGGCAGATTGCATTTACTTTTTGCACAGGGGGAGGAGGACAATGGAGAATTCAGGGGAGGGGCATAAAAAGCCCTTGGAAAATCAAGGGGGAGGGATGAAAACAACCACAGAACTCCAGGGGGTGGGGTAATTAGGGACAAAAATCCAGGGGGGGTCGGCAAGGTAAAGCCATTTTCCAGGCCATGACCTTAACCGTTGTGAACCCCCCCCCCCCCATGCAATCTGCCAATTGGAGTTTGCCTGCCAGCAATGTATTAACAAGGCAAGTGTCTATTAATAATAGACAGGGTTCTTTTACGGTATAAATGTACTTACATCATCCCAGTGTTCGTGTTGGTAACTTGTCTTTTCTAAAGATGGTCTAACTTCTTCACATAACATCATTTCTTCCTCTTCACTAATAAAGTCATCATAAACCAGCAAATTACCAGAGATAAGTTTCTCAACTGTCCTCAATTCATCACCGTCATTGCACTCACTGTCTTCACTGAGATGCACTCGAGTACAGCCTTGTGTACTTTCAGTCACTACACTGCGTGTAGACAGAATCGTATGCCTAAAGATAACTTTTCCTGAATAGCCTAAACTGAAAATTGTATTTTTAAACTTGCAGAGATGAGCCATTCTGTCCTGATGCCTCTGAAAATGCCCTGAATTTAAAACAGTGTTTCCACATTGCAGGAAATTTCCTGTTTGCAGGAAATTTTACTATCGAAAAGGAAAAATTCAGGATGAAGGAAAATTCAGGAAATCTGCCAAGATTCGGGAAATCTAAGGAAATTCTTCAAATTTTAATAAGTGCTAAATTACTAGACTATACTAGTTTGTATCAGTGGTTTGCATTTATGACAAATTAGCTCAAATCAAGTCCAGTTTGTTGTCATGACCATAATTGGCATATGCATGCCCTAAACTGGGCTCTTCGATCAAGCATGACAAAACACGAGGCCTTGCGGCAACCTCCGTCGCAAAGACCCTGCGGCTGTAGCTTATGTAAGCTTGTAAGGTGTAAAATAGTGTGGAATGTAGAAGAGCTGCACAGGTGTTTTGTTACCTTTTTATACACAATATAATATATTAAATAGTGTTAGGTTTCTGATTAAATAAAAATGTCACGTTTGTTGCCTCTAAACTGAAAAGAAATACATTTTAATAGGAACAAGACGCCTGCTCAGGCGTTCACACTGGCCTGAAAATAACGAGATACGTGCAATGGTGCAAAAGGCAGGAATACAAATCTTAAACCGCAAGCAAATTTTATGGACTTTTTTTTAAAAAATAAAAGACCTTTTCGGGAGACGTTAATGGTGCAAGTCAATAACTAGGAGTTACTATCGCAAGGAAAGTGCTGCCTTTATGGCGTATGAACTGAATGCAAAAATTTATACTTCTACACAATTCTTGGTTATATCCCCAATGTTTCCTTCTCGTTCATCATTTAAGCCCGTTCACAAACTCATTCTTAAATTGTGTGCACGGAATACGAGTAAATAGCCAACATGAAAATGAAGCCATTGGGTCAAAAGTGGATATTAAGGTCTATTACCTATTAGCTGTCAATGCACACTACTTTAGTATTAACTCTGGCTAATGCCAGACCTATTTTCACTGTAACGCCAGACGATTTTACTTGTTAGTGGCAGAGTACTGTCAGTAAATGGGTTAACAAACACATCTGCCAATGTCTCTTATTAACCCATTAACAGGCAATGCACCCTGCTTTAGTATTCTTTAGTGACTCTTCAGAATTTGCTCAGAGTCAATGTGAGTAAAATACATCTTGTATTCAAGCGCCTTCATATACAAAGTTTCGTTTGAATACGGCACAGAGTAGGAATATTTATTTAGAATTTTTCAGAATATCGGGTTTTTACTCGCACGCACGTTTATAGCTCGATCAATCATCAATGCACGTGCAAATCATGCCGTTGTTTTGATGTGCGTTCCATGGGCCGCGCTAAAAATATAAATATTCTGTAAATACCGAAATAAAAGATGACAATCTCAAGACACAAGCTTGAAAATAACACTTTAAATAGTGTTTTCGATTCTGGTTCCAATAATATCATTACGAAAAAGATATGTCCAAAGGGGCCGAAGTTATGTTCGGCAAAATGTATGGCTAGTACGTTTACATTGTTTGTTATATTATGAAATATGATACCATACTTGTATTAAAATTCGCGTCGAACGAAATGCGTTTCTTCGAGGTCGACTTGTGGCAAGTCTAGCAAATGAGAACCATACAATAATGGTTCTAGTTCTTGTTGGTATTTTGAACGCACGCTTTATCTTTAGTATAGCTACCACAAAACTTTTCGCGCGGATTATATTTCGCGCAGTACTAAAATTTCCGCACCCAGCGGCCATAGCCTGTGAGAATTTACGGCTGTACACAGGCTAAGCGGCCAGCGCTACGCTAATTCTCTTAATTCTAGTACTGCGCGGATTTTAATACATGTATTTAAAGGTATATTGTCGACATATTTTAATACATGTATTTAAAGGTATATTGTCGACATTTGACTAAAACTATCGTAAGGAGTTCGGAGAGTTTGTCCTTGTTTATATTCCAATATATTGTATAAATTCGCTGGGTACAAATTTATGAAATTTTGGGGTTTTCGAGTCGTTTAATTTAATACAAAAAGAAAAACATTAATTCAACAGGCAAGAAAGTCCAGAGTGCGATGCAAAAATTAACACAAGTACACAACGGATGTTATGAGTCCACGACGTATATTTATAGTTGTTTATTAAAAAGTCAAACTGTCAAACCTTTAACTTGTCCTTGTTTAAATATCCTTCTATATATTGTATAAATTCGCTGGGTCTAAATTTTCGAGTCGTTACACAAAGAAAAACACATTAATTCAACACGCAAGAAAGTCCAGAGTACGACACAACGTAAAATCCATAGGAAACCGGCACAATTCTTTGAAAATTCAACGAAACTGTGTAAAATATAGTTTGATCACTCTGTGAAAAGCCGCCATTGGAGTTCGGAATTGTGCGCGTGCGTACAAGTGTATGGGCTGATAAACGAAAAATGCACCACAAGCATGGCATGAGTCGGCTATTACGTACATAAATACGGACTTATTACTATACTATGTAAATCATGGAACCGAGGGGATCGATGGCATTTTGGCTTAGTCGTTGCACCCTGAGCCTGCGATGAGCTAACGCAAACTCGATTTCTCGACTACGAAAAAAAACCAGGAAAAGACAGAAAAAGAGGGATTTAAGACACTTGGCCTACAGGCCAGTGTAAAAAGACATTAAAAAAATATTAGGAATTTTCCAGGAAAAACCCAGGTTATTTGCAGGTATTTTCAGGAAATTTTAGGCGGAGAACAAGAAATTTTGTAATTCGATTGTGGAAACACTGATTTAAAATCAATCGATTTGTATTTACCGTCGTTTGCATCTACGAATGGACATTTCAGGAAGGAAGGGATTCATATTGTTTTGCCAAGTTTATATTTCACTTCTTACTGTCACTGAAGGGAGCTTAAAAGAGACTTACGAGTGTTCCCCCTTATTAAATTAAGTAACATTTGCAATAAACTATGTTAAACGTGTACTTCTAAGCCAATTTATGCAATAATTGTGTGATAAAGGGTGTGGTAATAAAGTGGGTGGTAAAGGGGGTAGTAATGGGGGAGGGAGTTCAGATGACGTTTCCACGTGAAGAAAACAGGCTAAACAGCCATTTCACGTCTCACGTATCGACAATTAGCTATTCCAAGAAAAGTTTAAAAACACGTACTTACTGTAACTGTGTATAAATATAATTTTCTATCTGGAGTATTTAATTAAGCATTTTTCACTGGCGTGGGCATGCGCTTGGCAGTGGCGCATAAAAACAATAGATTTCAGAAGAAGTTAATAATGCAGAACACGAAGATATGAATATTCGAACCCCCCCCCCCAATTATCGCGCTGGCGGCGCCACTGGCGCTTGGAAAAGTTTCCAAATTAGGTGCAAAGAGGTACATAAGTGAACTTAGTTGAAGTGAACATACATGACAAGTAGCTTTTATCAATGCAATCGTGTACTAACACTCCGGGTCTGGGTCAACAATCTTTAATTTTCTATCAAGGTTTTGCCTTACTCTATAACATGATAATTTAGAATGATTTTATATATTTTGAAGATGCTTTCAAAAACCAGTGAATCACAATGCTGTAAACTTCAACATCCTTAGGAATTGTAAGCCAAACAATACATCGAAAAGCAAAATTTGCGTAGTGTAAATTACTATTAAATATATGCGCAACCGCTTCTAAACACACCAAAAGTGACGGGCTTTGTTTAATTGTTTTCATTTTTTGCTCGGTAAAACAAATGCAAAAGACGTCCGAAGGCCTATATTTTATGATTTTGGAGGTGTCCGAGCGAAATTCTTTGTGAATAAAAAACAAGAGCGAAAAAAGTGCAAAATTTTGCCTTGTTTTGGGTCAAATATTGTGAAATATGAAGCCGTGAAATTTGAAACTACTTTTTGTATTGCGAAAGTTTGATATGTATTTAGCTCAAAAACAATCTCGTTCCCCGAGCCTGCGATCCTCGGGAAGGAATCGAAGGCTCTGGGATAATCCGTTACCGGAAGCCAAGAATCATGGCTAAGATTGAACTACGCATTCCTTATCAATGGCCAATCAGATTCCTCCCTGAAACGGATTATCCCAGAGCCTTCGATTCCTTCCCGAGGATCGCAGGCTCGGGGAACGAGATTGGCTCAAAAAATGAAAATCGATTTTTTCGAGTGGTTAATTAGGTAGACCCCCACCTTATAAAGGTGCTCTACAGTCCGATCTGCGCATGTGCACATAGGAGCCCACTTTTTATGATACAAACAGTTTAACTATGTTTTGGGTTCTTGAAAAGCCTGATTGTTGTTTCTTAATCATTTATTATACTCTAGAAGCTTGAAAATATAAATAGTTGTCGAATAAAGCTCAATATTTTGGACACAAAAATGTAAACAAAGGCTTTGTTTACATACGGACTGTAGGGCACCTAAGGCACCGATAATGCAACCAAGTTAACTTCCCTTTGGCGAGTTCCCGGCAGGAAGAGGCGGGATCCCGCCTAGGTGAGATTATATGTAACCATGTAAACACTTTGCCCGGGAATCTCGGCAACCGGAAATAAAATATCTTTGCCGGCGCCTTGCTTTTGAAACATGAGATCTCAAAAATACGTGGGTATCATTAGATAAGTTAATTCTCCATTCCCGAATTTCTCGGCATTTATTCTTGTACCGATACGTCATTTTCTAATTAACTTTTCAAACAACTTAATTTAATTAAACTGCCTTTTGTGTTTTGGCGCCAGGAAACTCGTCTTCATTTAAACTTGCCCTCAAACAGAAAAAATGTAAATTCCTTAGACAAAAACAAATTATGAAAATGGTCAAAACAATCAGTATAATGTCAAAAACCTGCAAAACCTCAATTTTGCTTTTCTCATTGCCCGTAGTTTATCGTGTAAGTCTGCCCTGAAACATTAACTTGCCTTAAAGCCTCTTTTCCATTCATAGCACCAGTCAACTTGAAAATTACTGCGAGTGAATTCATCCAATCACATTGTTCGACAGTAAGGTTTAGTTGGATGCGAATTAACACTCGCAACGAACTTGCGAGTTGGTTTTAGCAATGAGTGGAAAGGAGCCTTTAACGTGCTTTATTTAATTAAATCGCTTCACTCGACTAAACACACAATATCTCGAGCGCAAGTAGTTAAACGAGTTACCAGCCTTAGTATGTTTTGAATTCAGAAATTTCAGGCGGGGCCAGCAGGCCGATGCTCACCAAACTTTGTCCTCAACTTTGTCCTCTTCCCGTTTCCCCCAATATAATAGGATGGGAAGCCACATCTGCTGCAGATGCGACCAAGACGATGGAAAAGAAAGAAGGATGTGTTGTGGTCTGGATGGCTTGGGGTGCGAAGAGGAAAATTGAAAATAGCTGTGGAAGTC